GATTGTCGACAGTGCGTCGCACGAGCCCATGGCTCGTGCATCCAATACAGAAACGATAGTAAACCGTGGTTGTGCCCCTTGTGCCGGACCAACAAGATTCCGATCGAGGCTCGCTTTTTGGACKCCACGTCAGAAGGGTTGGAAAAGACCCGGAAGTTTAGAAGGGCCAAAGTATGGACTGATATTGCCTTGATTGCCACCTTGGTTGGCAACCCCCTCCAGGATTTCACTAAGGAAGATCGGAGGAGGGCCAACGAAAGGGCTCGAGATTATAGGTGGATAGAGGGGAGATTAGAAAAACGAAAAACGGACGGCAGTGGGAATTGGATGGTAGTGCCGCATCCGTTCATGCGGTATGACTGGGTTAAGACAGCCCACGAGGAAACTGCGGTTCATTTTGCTGTACGAATCACGGAGTCTGCTATCGAAAAAAATGAGTGGTACTGGTCCAATATCCACGACGATGTGAAGTACATCGTCGCCAACTGTCAAGTCTGCGCCGCTGACAAAACGCCGATTCAGCCACCAAGGTCGATAGTGCCCACGGTTGTTGAACGGCCATTTCAAAGAGTAAGCATGGATACTACCGACATCGCGGTGCCCCCTGGCCCTAATAGTTGCGAATATTCAATCCTATTGGTATTTGTCGACCATTTCTCAAAATGGATCGAGGCATATCCTTGTCGCACGCGACAAGCCACGGGGATCGCGCGATATGTCAACCGTTTCCTCGGGATGCATCAGGATACCGAAGAGATCCTAACCGACAACGGGGCTGAATTCAGGGGAGAGGTATTCAGAAATTTGGTCCTACATGGCGTTGCGATACGGAACACTGCACCCCACATGTCACAATCTAACGGGCTGGTCGAAAACGCTAACCGGGTGATAAAGACCGCGTTGCGACGAAACATCGCGGCACGGGATCCGAGACCCTGGCCCGACATCGTCGATCACATCTTGGCGGTCCATCGCGGAACGCCCCACGAATCAACGGGACTGAGCCCCTTCCAATTAAGGACCAATAGTGTCGTTTGCGTTTCGATACCAGGCCTCCAGGATGAGTCTACGTTGAACCGACGGCCCACTAGGGCTACGGCTCGGGACAAGGCCAAACGACACCTAGAGTTAATGGAACGGTCGCTGCCCAGGCTAGCCCGAAAGCGACAGAAAATGACCGAACTAGCCAGGGCCGACAGGTCTGGAGCTACGAGGCCCGAAATGGGAATGCGGGTCCGCGGCCCCAGTACAAATTGGGGGACGTGGTGCAGGTGAGGAAATGTGCTCGCCAAGGTARGCTAGCGCCACGATTCTTCGGGCGATATCGCGTGATCGAACTCGGCCCCAACGGCGTGGAYACCGTGCGTCTCGCCCCTGAAGTCTCTGACAGTCGGTCGGCTCGTCCGATCACACGCCACGTGTCCTATCTTCGCCTCCTCCCCTCTTCTTCGTCTCCTTCTCCCTCGATCTCTCCCTCTGAGGAAGCCAAAAGCKACGACTCTCCGCCGTCTCCCTATTCCTCTTGCTCCCCATYTGCCTCCCCGTCACCTCCGCCATCGCCATGAGTTTTCTGGAGGAAAGAGCCCTCAGCGCAGCATCGCTTTCTCCCCGCGATCGATTGAAGATYTGGCAAGTCCATCATCCCCGCCTCAGTCCCGATCTTCGGAGGCTTGCACACTTCTTCTGCACGGAAGGCGTGCATGCAGCGGCGATATTCAGAATCGAAGGCCGGCCTGACGCGGTGGTACTGGCCGAGGCGGTGGCAGTTCAGCAGCGAGCGGTGCCAAGTGTCAGTYGCATATCGGTCGTCATCAACTTCAATGGCGATCTCTCCACACTTCTTCCTTTGCGACATTCGGCGGTRAAGGCATCGCTGCGCGCGTGGGCGAACRACCTGGTCGCCRAGTGGACCCARCTTCTGGCTCGTTCCGGAGATACAGTCGCAACGACACGAGCGATCGAGTAYGACGACCTTCGGATGTATCAGCGCGAGCCGCCAGCAGACATCCCTATCCTCGTTCCCTTCCCACGTCCCCAATGAGTCTCTCTCCGATCTCCGTTTTTTATCTCCCCTCCACCCCACCTTCTGGCAGTCCGATAGATATCCATCCTCGCCTTTCCTACTGTCTAAAGCCCCTCGCTGTCCTCGATATCCATCCTCCCCATTGGGTCCTGTGGCGCAAAGACTTCATCGAACTTTCACTGTGTCTGGTGGAAGTACGGCTGACGTGGATCGAGGACGAAGCGCACCCGCCTTGCATAGAGCGCCTGGAGTTGYCGTTCGTCCATGCCTGGCGAACCAATGTGGAGGGAGAGCTTCTCGCGTGTTTATTCGGTACGGTGCGACCCGGTCATCAGGATCTCATCACGAAAGAGCTCACGAACCCGGTAGCACAGCTGGCGGACGATCTCCCTCTCGACATCATCTCGCAAGACGATGAGCATCCAGTTCCCCACGTACTTTCTCGCACATTGACACCTTATCTTCAGTGGTCGGCTTGCGTAAAAGGAGCCGCAGAGCGCATCCCGCCGTCGCAGCAACAATACCTGGATCCCCGGACGGCTCGCGATCCTGCCTTCTTCAGGCATCCTACGGCAGAGCAGCTTGCGGCCATCAGAGAAGAAGAGGAGGAGGAAGAGAGTACCGGGAGGGACGAAGACGACGACGGATTGGAAGAAGGCGGGAACAGCGACGAAGAACTCGGCGAAGAAGACGAGACCCCCGAAGAAGGAAGCTATAGCGAGCATAGCGAAGGGGAACAGAGCGAAGAAGAAGAAGAAAGCGAGGAAGGAGAAGAGGAGCACGACGAAGAGCCGGCTGGATCGRAGTGGRAAGCCGTGCCAGAAGAAGCGCTGCATACGGGTACGGAGGTTGAGGATCTAGAGGCGGCCCGCAAAAGAAAAGAGATTGCGGCCGGAAAGGAATTAGAGCTCGCAAGCGCGGCAAGTCTGCAGATTCACGACGATCCGAACCGAGATCCGGAGCGGCCCCGACCTGAAGATGGCGACSTCGCGGCCACGACTCCGACCCCATCAGCGCGGCGACGAAGCYGATTCCCTCCTYCTCAACCCGTCCCCCAGTTCGCCGAYGTACCGATATGGGCGATCGGTCTTCGTCCMCGATCACTCTCTCGCTGTCCCCTTGACTACCTCACCCTCCGCCAGCTCACCACCCCCATCATGTTCCCCTCCAATCTGTTTCCTCGCGACACCTTCCGCCACTTCTACGCTGCTCGCCTCGCTATAGTGGTGCACCCCCACCCCTCCATTCGATCCGCCGTCCCAGCCTTCTGCCTCCATGTCCTKCTCCTTAGTGTCGTGTGGCGAGGCCACAACATGATCGAGGTTTACTGCGTGGTAACGAGGACCATCCCCGCATGCGATGATCGCGATCGTTTCCGCGCGGCACTCTTCCGAACTCTCACTACCCTTTATCCCGATTATCTCGCATCCCTCCCTCGCACTGGCAATCGCTTCCCCCGCTTTCACCGCATTGTTCGTTACTAAGAGCTCCCGGAGACTGTAGCCGGAATGGAAAGTCTCTTGCCCCCATTACCCATAAACCCTTCACCCCGCCATGCCGCCATGCACCGGCTCCCTTTCCCCCCCGCAGTTAATTACTGATGCAGTAGGGAATGGATGCGTGTCGCGGCGACGGCACGAGAAAGATCCYGTCCTTGAATCGTCGAGGAGCCCAATCTGAGGAACTAGTAGAAGAGCAGTGTTGCCACGACGGATGACGCCCACACAAAGTTGAACGGTAAGTAGCATAGAAGGAAGTGCTCCACGTGTCGATCGATTAGAGAAATCGACACGTGTCAACAAGCAAGCAGGAGCTTGCTAATACTGGAACCCCCAGGGCGTCACATATGTGACGAACCACTTTYTGTAACACGCGATTTTCTGCGCGGTTGCAATCAGGGGTCCTAAGCTGGGAAGATTGGGCCCATTACGGGAGATCGGGATCGGTGGAGAATTGCATC